CACAGATATAAAGATTTGGTTTTGAAGTTTGGTTGTACCTGTAGAAAACTTATTTCAAACGGGATTGCACATCCTCATTTTTACGACAATATTGTTTACCGCGCCCGGAAATTTAGAAACGATCCTGGTAAACTTATCGATCCTTTAAACTTATTCTAAAAGGTTGCCAATTCAACACTGTAATTAGATCATTAAATATTGTTTTTATTGGTACTGATATTGATTTTGTTATCAGTAAATTAAAAGCAAACTAAATATTATTGTTATATACATATACACATGCATGTATACCTGTATCTTGGCATTGCACAAGGTCATGTTTTTCTCTGACTGTTTATGACGTCTTTACACTAAATCCATTGGTTGTTGGATGAGTACGGATTGATAATTTAGTCTTAGATGCATGATTTTTTTTATTAGTTGTTAGTGGCTTTGAACTAGCTGTCAGTAACTGCGAGTACTCTCAGATCTGTACTTAGTGTCTTTTTGTTGTTTGGATGTACAAGTACCCGGCCACGTCCACTTGTAGTATTTGTATTTTTATCCATCTGATGAGTTAAGCCTCTTTCAACTGATATTTATAGTTCGTTCTTATGTTGTACTGTTACACCACTGTCCCAGGTTAGGGGAGGGTTGGGATGCCGCTAACATATTTAGCCCCGCCACATTCTGTATGTATGTGCCTGTCCCAAGTCAGGAACCTGTAATTCAGTGGTTGTCGTTTGTTTATGTGTTACATATTTGTTATTCGTTCATTTTTTGTACATAAATTAGGCCGTTAGTTTTCTCGTTTGAATTTTTTTACATTGTAATTTCGGGGCCTTTTATAGCTGACTGTGCGGTGTGGGTTTTGCTCATTGTTGAAGGCCGTACGGTGACCTATAGTTGTTAATTTCTGTGTCATTTGGTCTCATGTGGAGAGTTGTCTCATTGGCAATCATACCACATTTTTTTTAAAATTAAGCTGATAAGATTATAAGCAAAGTTGTCGAAAGAAGAACAGAACAATTGTACGTTCACTATACTATACAATGCCACATTTACATTTTGTTTTTAGTGATTGAGAAACGGTAATTTTATCAACTGTTGAAAAGATCTTACGATATGTACGAAAATACTACTTGGCCAATTTGGGATGACCTTTTATATAGTTGACTTGATGTGGAAAAAAATATTTTGGGGATTTTTTTTATTATTGATTTATAGACTTTGGTTGTTTTCTGGCTATCAGAATAACTGGAAGGAAAACAGCTATACCGTTATAAAGTTTAACTGAATTAACCGTTATTAGAGCATATATAACAGGGAAAAAAACCAGAACAAGATGAACTAAACATGAAAATAATTAAATCAAACATGAAAAAAAAAAACCCACATAAAACAAACAAACAATGTCTAGGTTATAAAGTATTGGTAAACATTTTTATTTTTTTAAAATTTTTGTTGTTAAGGTAACAACATTTAAAGCTAGAATAAATCAGTTTTTTGTAACTGTCTCCAATTAATCATGATCTCCTGATTGCTGGTTTGCACTGTCTGGCTGATTGTCATAAGCAGCAGGCCTTTTAAGTGGAGGCCTGAGATTACCAACATCTTGCCAATTCTGTATAATTAGCTTTCTGCTGTTTTCAGATTTTTTGACGAATATTCGACCGTCGGCAGTCCAGTAAGGACTGATTTGATTTTTAGTTTTCATATCGGCAAGGGTTTTTTATTAGTTCAGTTCTATATTGTGATAGGTTTTCAGTTATGAAAATACCATTTGTGTCACCCTTTAGTTCCTTTTTATTGCTGTACACCAAATGTTTCATTCTATATGATATGAACCGGACTATAACTTGGGACCTGCCTTTTCTTGCCTTGCCTATAACATGTGACCTTCCGATTTCATTCAGGTCTATATTTATATTCAGCTTGTTCCTGATGATATCCAAGACTATCTCGTCTGTATTCACAGGGTGTAAGATCTTTCCATGGTTGTCAACAGGAACTGGAACATTATGGAAAGGAAAGACTTGTTCTTCTGGAATATTGTTCCTGACTTTCCCTCTAATTTTGAGGTCAGCAATTTCATCACTCAGTCAAGGTCCTTGCCTTGTTCTTTGATTGTTGTTATATGGTTTGAGGTAGCCTGTTTAAGGTTTGATATTTGTATGAATTGTTTAAGGATGTGTTGCTTGTGAGTTTGTATTACAGTTTCTTGTTCCTTTATTTGTTTAAGTAGTGGTTGTATCTGTATATCAACGAATTTTTTTGCCTCTTGCTCAATTATTGGTGTAAGGGTATCACTGATCTTTTTTGACAATAAAGGTATTAAACGTTAAGAAATTCTGGGCTATTAAGGGCATCAAGTACTTTATCGGCAACTGTTTTCCTAAGTGTTGAAGTTTTTCTTTCGCTTACTCCTCGCAGATCTCCAATTGAGTTACTATGACGTCTGCGGATTTGACGAGTGGACTGTTTTTGTGTGGCTGGTAGGGAGTCTGGGCTATCAGGATTACCACGTTTATTGCTGCCAGTTATTAAGGAAGAGATTGATGGACTTGGCTGTGAGCTAGTCAATATAATGTCGGACTGAGATTGAGACTCAAAGTTTACATCAAAGGAGGCATCCATTTTGTGTTCACTCATCTTGACCTAAATGTGGCAGCGATTTATAGTATTCTTTTTATATTTTACTTTGTATATTTTATAACTTAACCAATTTTCCATTTCAGCGAATTATTTCAATAAACTATAAAAATATTTAATTTGATCTAAAGTTGTTAAAATATTTTGAAGACATTTTCTGAACTCATTACGCTATAGCTTTCCGTTTTCCAAATTTAGTCCCTGCTATGGTGTAATGAATAATTGACCATCGAAAAGTCCAATGCGGCAGAACTTAAATGTACTCACTGTACTAACCAATAGTACATGAAAACGTCATACCTGCACTGCAGTACTAACTGTATGGGGTTCAATACAGGATAATCATATGCTTCAATGGTCAATTATTCATTACACCATAGCAGGGACTAAATTTGGAAAACGGAAAGCTATACCGTAATGAGTTCAGAAAATGTCTTCAAAATATTTTAACAACTTTAGATCAAATTAAATATTTTTATAGTTTATTGAAATAATTCGCTGAAATGGAAAATTGGTTAAGTTATAAAATATACAAAGTAAAATATAAAAAGAATACTATAAATCGCTGCCACATATGGCTATGCTTGTTAATGTTTTTTGTCTAATTAATTGTCAGTTTTATTAAGTTTACGAAGGATCAAACCACAGGCGCTTGGGTATATGATACAGAATTTTTTTTTTAATATTTTTTGTTGTTGATTAAAATATTCAATTTTTTATATTTATACTACATATCTATCACTACTGCGCATGTCTCACCTAGTTTCGAGTGATTTTACTAACTCTGAGACAAACCCCCATTTTACTATCCACACTAAGAAAAGTGGATAGTAAAATGGGGGTTTGTCTCAGAGTTAGTAAAATCACTCGAAACTAGGTGAGACATGCGCAGTAGTGATAGATATGTAGTATAAATATAAAAAATTGAATATTTTAATCAACAAAAAAAATATTAAAAAAAAATGTCTGTATCATATACCCAAGCGCCTGTGGACCAAACACGATTCAATTGTTTAAGTTGACTATTGAACGATGCATGTGTTGATATCATATACGTTATCCATCATAAAAATCCCATTTTGTTGGTCACCCTACCATTCCAGTTTGCGCATGCCCTGAAATTATATTAATTCTGCCAGCTATATAACAGATTCACAGAAGCATCACTGAGGGGTGGGGCTATGCTTACTGCATGCACATGAGAAAAGTGGATATGATGTATCTATACTATAAATTCATAAGTTTCTGTAACGTTTATTTTATTGGGACAATTGAGACTGGATAGGTTTCCCTAAAATAACAAGTCAGTATCTTTAAGCATGACAAAAAAAAAGTGTTGAAAACTGATTATTTAAGTGAATTTTCTAAGGACCATAACTCTGCACAAAATCATCAGACCAGAAAGAAATTCATACTCGATCTGTAACTTGTCATGATAAAACTATATACCAATTATCAAATCAATATCTTCAAGCATGACGAAAAAAATGCGGAAAACTGATTATTTAAAAGTGAATTTTCTAAGTCCAAGGACTATAATTCTGCACAACATCATCAGACCAGAACAATATTTGAACTTGATCTGTAACTTGTCATGATAAAACAATACACTAAATATCAAATCATTATCTTCAAGCAAGAAGAAAAAAGTGTGGGCTATTAAGGGCATCAAGTACTTTATCGGCAACTGCTTTCCTAAGTGTTGGAGTTTTTCTTTCGCCTACTCCTCGCAGATCTCCAATTGAGTTACTATGACGTCTACAGTTTTGACGAGTTGACTGTTTTTGTGTGGCTGGTAGGGAGTCTGGGCTATCAGGATTACCACGTTTATTGCTGCCAGTTATTAAGGAAGCGATTGATGGACTTGGCTGTGAGCTAGTCAATATAATGTCGGACTGAGATTGAGACTCAAAGTTTACATCAAAGGAGGCATCCATTTTGTGTTCACTCATCTTGACCTATGGCTATGCTTGTTAATGTTTTTGTCTAATTAATTGTCAGTTTTCTTAAGTTTACGAAGGATCAAACATGATTCAATTGTTTAAGTTGACTATTGAACGATGCATGTGTTTATATCATATACGTTATCCATTTGATACCTTTACCTTTATAACATCATTAAATCCAAGTGAAAGTAAGAAGAAAGGATAGAAAATAGAACAGGTAGGTCTATAAGGATCCTGTATTGTATTGTAAGTGCATCATTTTGCTCAATTGAACGACATCCACCCTTTTTACTCAAGTGCAGAACTGTCTAAAAATGAAATGGGCGTTGAACGTGTCCAAGTGATCCTCACCCCCTTTTTATGTGTAAACATAGGCACCTGATGTCCGGACTTTTTCCTTCTTTAAATGTGTAAACACAGGCACCCTTGACACTCTTTATTTCAACATTTGCCAATTGTACCGCGATTTCGCGGGCATCTTCTAGTATATATGTTATAAATATTATTTTTTTATATGTATATATATCAATGGTCCATTTATATCACTTATTCAAAAGTAAAAATTAATATTAAGTGTTGATGGAAAAGACAGAAAATAACAATCATTTATAAAATATTCATCTCAGGATCTATAAATGTCATCTGGTCAATCTCAGAATAACCTTATATGTCTTTCAACTGCAAAAAACTGATATTTTAATTTTGTGGGTTTGCCATTGTCTGTTACATACAGGCCTATAGAAAATTTGTATTTGGTAGAACATTTAATTTCTTGCTTTACCTTTACCTACGAAATCCCCCAAAAATTGCTATCCGATGAATTATAATGAATCCACACAGTATTTGAATAGGGTCAGAAATTTTGCCATACAAAAGACCACATGAAAACATCTCAGAACTATTGCAATATTTTCTTAATGTGCATACACTTTCCAACATGAACCTCAAATTATAACATCTGGCACAGCAAATTGGACACCCGATCAGCTTCAGTCTTGCTACAAAACTGGAAAAACACATAATACCATATTTCTATACTCCATGTGGTTGTAAACAAAGACAAATATAATTAAAAACCAATTGTTCAGAGAACAATTGAAGGTCTTTCCACTTCTTACGATTTATTTTGATACAAAAATATTAAAAATTGGTTAAAAAAAGTCATTTCCAGTGTCAAATGATAGCTCATTGTTTGCTGATTCCAAAAATATATGGTTTCTATACAATTTTGTTGGAAATAAGGAGGTAATTTGTTACTTCCGGTCTGAAAAATGTCACCTCCAGTATTATTTGATAGTTTACTTGACACTGATTCCAAAAATATATGGTTCTATATACTTTTACATCAAATAAGTACAAAAAAAAGCTACTTCCGGTTTACACACAGTCATTTCCGGTTGGATTTTCAAGGTCATGTAAATTGCAACCTTATGAAAAAAGTCTCATGGCTTTATCATGTTTAAATATGAAGTTAAAGCGAAGGTCAAAATCTAGAACATCAAATTCAACTTTGACCTTGAGCTCAATTTTAAGGTCATAATACAAGGACCTAAAATCAAATTACCCTAGGTCTTTATTATACTTGGTAAATGAGTTATACCACCATACATGTAATTTTAAATATAAAAAGGGAGAAAACTCCCATTAATGGTCAATGTACCCTCGCAATCAAAATTTAAGTGTTACGAAATGTCGCAACTAACAATTTAGGAAAAATAATTTGTCAATATCTTATACGGTTTTTGAAAATAAGTGAAAATAAGCCAAAATCAAAATTGAGAATATGACCTTGACCTTTGACCTTGACCTAATTTTCATTTTATTGGACCAAGGACCTCAAATCAACAGACCCTAGGTCTCTATCACTTATGGTTTACCAGTTAGAAATGCATATCACTTATATCAAATGCATAAGGGGAAATAACTCTCATATGGAGTCTCAGTATAGCTTCGGTGCAAATGGTCAGCAGAATCCTGAAGATATAACAAGCAATTTGGTAAAATAAATTTGTCGTAATCTTGTACGGTTGCGAAGGAGTAGTGGCCACAAGAAAAACAGTGTTTGGGGAGATAACTCTTACAACGTAAAGTGTTCGGTTAAACAGTGTCAGTTTTAAAAGCGTATAAACTGTTCAATAGCAAATACCAAATATCTAAGCGACATCTTGTGAAACAACAATACTACGCAAGAAAAAAATTAGGCGGAAGAAAAAAAAAAATAATAATAATCAGAACAAAAGCAATAGGTCTTTCCACGGAAAAGTGGAAAGACCTAATTATAAAGGAGAAAATAAGCAAATATAATCTCAAACAATATAAGCATATGCATAAAGTCAGATATCTGTTGACAGATAACAAATGGTATGCACTTTAAGTATTACACTAATCACACTCATGTTATGATGTATTTTCTCTTTTTCAAAGTCATTCATTCTTTACTCTGAAAATTAATAGTCCATCCTAGTACTTGTCTATCAAAACCACAAGAGAAAAGATTGCACACTGTGTTTTCTGTCTCAGACCAACATACTGATGTCACCATCTTACTATGACCCTGAAAAAAATAAAGTAAGCTTTAGCTTTATGAACAATTGGTCCTTAATTCTATCTTAACAATCAATTTACTAAATGTTTGAGTAAGGTGAAAAATATATAAGACAATCACACTACAAACCAAACCACTATCAAAACTTTCAAAATGTTTTGTTGTAATCAACTGTTCCAAATTCCCAAATCAATGAAAAGTGACAGATTGAACAACTTCATAATACAAAACTGCATTTCAAAGTAAAAGTATATTCAACTATAAATTTGTTCTACAGTATTGCTTATTTTTGTCATGTAAATAATTCATACTGCTCAACTCACAATTTAATATATAAATATACATGTAAGCAAACTTTGATATATTACATTATTAGCAACAATGAATATCACATCACATTTTGGTTCAGTGTTTTTCATAATTTCCAAATGACATTATGTTGGACTTAACAATATATTTGGATTAACAGTATTGTCAAACACTGATTTTAATAAACCAATTGTAAATTAACATATATACATTTATTTATTTCATTTTTTTATTACATAGGTGAGATAGAAGAAATTGAAAAAATTATAATTATTGTAAATTCAGGGTGTTTCAAAATATTAAAATATAAAATAGTCTCCCATTTGTATTTTCTCTGGCAAATGGGAATTGGTGTACTAGCACGGCCCCTAAGCATCCACCCCTGGGCTGCTTATTATACATCAGGTGTTACATAATAAAAGGTGTTAAAAAATAAAAATAAATAATAAAAAAAAAACACCAAAAAACAGTGATTTTAATGTAGCAAATAAAATATTTTCCTATTGCCTAATCATAACAAGACATCTTTGAGTGTGAAATCAATGACTGAACTGACCAGCTATTCATTTAGATATACTGTAGTTTTTTTTTAAATAAATTTGATTGCATTTTATTTTCTCACCGAGGATGATGCTTTTAACTGTGTAAAATTAGGATTACTGAGATGTTTTTAATAATACAAAACTAAATTCCTACATGAATTAATCAAAATATAAAAACACAATATCAATCACAACCAACCTGTCTATTACTTCTTGGCAACCTTCCAATTCTGTTACCATGGATATCATACAACCTTATATGTCTGTTATCATGAGGTATAGCTATACAATTATGGCTACCTGATACTGCTAACCTATAAAATATTTGAAAGGTCTTACTTTTTTAAACAATCAAAACAATTATTCAATGCCTAAATACATGTATACGAATAAGATGTGAAATGATTGCAAATGAGACACTTATCCACTAAATACAAAAGGACAAGGATGTTAACAACAACATGTCTTTAATACATGTTTAACCCACCACATTCTCTATGTGCCTGTCAGCAGCCTGTAATTCAGTGGTTGTCATAGGTTCATGTCTGTCTTTTTGTTATAAATCAGGTCGTTAGTTTTTTCAATTGAATTGTTTCAAATTTTTCATGTCGGGGCATTTTAAAGCCAACTATATGGTATGGGTTTTCTCATTGTTGAAGGTTGTACTGTTGCCTATAATTGCTTACATCCATTTTATTTGAACTTTGGTGGATAGTTGTCTCATTGGCAGTCATACCACATATCCTTATTTTTATATTATACCACCTTCATCAATGTGCAATAACAAATGCTGTATATTGTGCTATCAAAAGCTAAGGAATAACAGAATGTAAAAAAATTTAAATGAAAACTAAAGGCCTGATTTAAGCCTTAAAATCATGAAAATTATGGCACAGCAACCAATCACAAACACTGGACTACAGGCTCCTCACTTTGAACAGACTGTCAGACACATATTGTGGCATGGTTAAACATGTTTGTGAGTGCTCAACCCCCTAAAAAAGTCTTTACACAAATGGACATTCCTTATCATAATGTAAATAAAATGATCTAAAATAATTGGTTTTCAAATTTACTTCATTCACAGTTCATAAGTTTTTTTTTTTATTGAACAGTCTCATCATTTAAACAAGAAATGCAGAGAAGAAAACAAACATTTCTTCGTCCACTTTTAAAAAAAAATCAGTGTCCATTCATCCCTCCAGGATGTATGTTTTAAAGACACAGAAATATCCATTTGATAGAAACAGAGCAAAACCAAGCCACATTTAATTGACTCCAAGATTCATTTGAATGGTTTAGTTTGCTGGCAAACCGGGGTTCAAACAACCACTTTCCTTCAAATTGATTTGCACCAATGGCTACGACAGTCAACAGCTTATTGTTCCCATTCTGATCATTGGTATATATTTTCTCTAAACTATGCTGTGTATATGGGGCTTTAAAGTGGTATGGGAGTACAAACAAAAAATGATAGACTTTTTTCATTCTATGCCAAAATAAAGTATACATTGTGATATGTTCAAAATTATAATAAAATAATAGATCACCGAACTTGTTATCAAGCTACGGGTTGTGAAAAATTACACATTTTGTATGGTTTATACAGAGAAAAAACATAATAATGTGAATAGAAGGTAAACTAAATGATAGAATTTTGAAATAAAATATTGGAAGGTAGCTCTTAAAAATTGCTTTCAGAATATTTGATTTTCTGTTCTTTTACTATTATCTGATGAAAATATGGCTACACAAAATTTGACCACCAAACAAACTGTTCTTATTGAGAGACTACTGAAATACTCAAAATTATTTATAAATCCAAAAATAGTCAAATCCATAACTCTTTGTTACCCATCTCATTAAAGTCATAGGAAAAACATCCGTCTTAATGAATAAAACTGTAGCATAGGAACGCACAAAAGAAAAACATCAAAAAAAATTTCCATGTTTGAACTACATTTTCCCTTAAGATATGTTTGGGCAAGTTTATACTGTGTGTTAAAAAAAATGTCTGTGGTAAATGCATGCCAACTTGAAAGATGAATTTTAAAGGCAGAGCTTAACTTGGTGATATATATTTATACATTTTCATTAACTTTCAAGATTACTTTTTCCTTTTTATCATTAGTCCTTGTCACAACTGTATGTCCATACTCAAAGACATAGATAAACCAACTAGTGCTAAGAATGCATGACAATCTGGAATTTGTAGGCCACATCTAACAAAAGATTCTATAATATAATTATTTGCCTTTTGCGGCCAAGCGATACCTGTAAAGGCTAAAAGATTTCTTTATAAATTATACATTTTCTGAGTTACCTTCCCTTAATACACAAAACGTGAAAAAATAGATACTTTTGTAAAAAATATGAGTAATTGTAACTTTTAAGATCACATAAATTTGTGAGTTTAAATAATTTTCATAAGTAAACTGCATTCCTGCATTAAAATTTGATTAAAAATATAGATCTATTGTGTTCTTCTATTTTCCAATCCAAGATGTAAGTAGACACACATATTACCTTCGATATATTATTATACTTTAATCAAATAACTGTACTGTGGTTGTACTTTCCCAAAGAAGCATCTTAAATTAAATAAAATTGTATAATATAAGTGACCTTTGATGCACAAATGTTTTCATATTTCGTTTGTTTTCTGAACTTCATTGCCCATGAACATGCCAAATGAAGGTTATCCAAAAAAATTACCTATTCACTGATGAGTCAGTTCTAATGGTTGCTATGGGTGATCTCATATTTTTCAGATCCCACACCTTAACAGTTCTATCATCACTACCAGAAACAACATTTTCACTTCCAGCAAAAACAGCACTTGTTACAGGTCTGAAATATATAATCAAAACTGTACAGATTATTGCCTGCAAGCTACAAATATCAAAGTTTAAAGTCAAACATGCATATTTGTTTAATTATTGCTTATAATTGCGCACGCACATCACATAAGACTTTTAACTATCTTACTATAAGGAATTGCATAGATATTTCATACAGATTCCATCATTTTGCAATGTGATTTTGTTACTAAGTCTAAAGTCAGGATAAGAAAATAATGTCCAGCTGGCTCAAATACTTTTTGGAAGGCCTGGATTGAAAACCACTTTTTTAGGTTACTGGAAACTAGCTTCTTTTAAAATTTGTACAATAAGGACTAGACAGTATCCTGGCAATGGTTTTTACAAATATATATGTTCACAGAACTAATCCATAAAATATTGCAACAAAATATAATAACATTCCTTTAACAAGTAAACCTGAAATGCATTAGTGGCCAAAAAATGTTGGAATCCCAAAAACACAAACACTCTAAAATTGGAAAAGTGAAACAAGGTCTGAACCACACTATTTCAGAAAATATGATTATAAGTCAAAGATTTAAATTAAAGTTGCTTCAAAATTCCTTTTTATTTTCAGAATTAACCATTTTGGTTATTTTGGCTTACAGCAAAAAATTCCTCCCAGATCCCAAATTCAAAAATATTTCCCCACTCTGGGGTTTATTGTATTTCCAGCAAACACAATCTGAGGCTAACATACTGTGAGTGTCCCTGGAAGACATTTACAAGAAGATTTGGATCCCTCATATCAAACAATCTGAAGGTTGTGTCCTTTGATGATGTCACAGCCAATCTCTGTGTAGGATGAGCTCTTACATCAGTTAATTCTTGGTCATGACCTAAAAAAAAGCAATCAACCATTGTTCAATAATATTGTAACTTTATGATGAAAATAACATCTATGATACAAAATCAATACGTGCACAGCAAAAAAAAAACAAAAAGCAAAGGAACAGTGCTTTTATTGCTGTTCTTCATCTCAAAGTCACAGTGAGGCCTTTAACACAGAGCAAAAACTCTCAACTCACAGCAAGTTTACAACAGCCTCTATCACTGTTTTGAGCAGAATTCTCTGCAAACCAACAATCACCTCACAACTGTGAACAAAACCATGGAGTAATATCAATAAAATAAATCAAACATTTAATGTCATAATTTAGCCCGACAACCACACTGCAAAAACAATACAAACATTTAATAGACAACCATGGGGCACTTCGAGATATATGTTAGATAACTTGGCAGGAATTGTTTAGATGAGACCATATATGTTCATATAAGGTTTCATCTAAAAAAAAGTAATTTAAGAACTGTTACAGTTTGCCTATAGCTACCATGTTACACCTTTGTCACAAAACCCTTTTAAAATTTTAACCTTACTGTTAGTTACATGAAAACAATTTACCAGTTAATGTTATGATTTGTTCCCCAGTTTCTGCATCAAACAGAATGGCTGATCTATCCCATGATGCAGTTATCACCTGACTTCCTTCTGCCATCCAATCAGCAGCTACTATGACTCCAATGTGACCAGACAATTCCATAGTTGGTGTTCTTAATGTGCTAGCCTCCTGAATCTGATCACACACATCTGTAATTAAAAATATTGAATTAACCTGTATTTCTTTAAATGAACAAAAGATATTTTATAAGTACTTTCAAGATATCTAAAACCTTATGTTGAGACCAAGTTTTCAGCCATTAAAAATTTGAATTTTGATTGTCACAGGCTTTCTTGAGAACTATTCATTTTGAGTAAGTTCTTGCATCAAACATTATATATTGGTTACACTTTAATTCTTTTTTTTTTTCAAAAATGAAAAGGAAGGTCAAGAATCTTACAAATGATTTATGTGAATTGTTCATAAATTAACAAAAATGATAACATCCTAAATTGTTTCCTGTAATTATTTGTCTTACATTTTGAGACACAAATATTAATTGCTTGCTGTATACTTTTTACCGCTTAAAATTTGATAATGACATCAAATTCATTTACCAATTAATGTTTTTTATTGTAACAGTATGCAAAAAGGTTACATTATTTAATAAAAATGTGCAAAAAAAACAACAAATTCTACCTTCAAAATTCACTTACAGGAGTGCACACATTGAAATGTCTTGCCTGTTTTACTATTCATGATTGAATGTTATGTTGAAAGTCCTTCAGATTAAGGTTTTATTACAGGTATCACATAAATTTTACATAATCAAGGATTTATAAAGATGAGGTCAATGTCATATGAACCCTGCTAGACAATCACTGAACCATGAAATGAGCTCAACAGGCACATGCCAGAGAGAAAATTCAGAACACAAGTCACCTGTATACAACATATCATGTGTCCAGGTCTGAAATGTACAGCTTATAACACAAAACGTATGCTGTAACCACCACCAGATTAGCTGTATGCGACCAATGCTGGCAAGACTATCAACCAAACTTTACATTGTAAACAATACTTTTTTTCTTTCAAAACAAATTTAAAAATAAAAATTTTATTTGTTTTTTAAAGGTTTAAAAAAATAATTTTGGTGTTTATGATAGATAAATCTACAGCTTGACATAATATGGTATAGAAAATTGTAGAGGGTCATCTATTGACCTCTAAATGTCGGGAATTTTTTTTGTGTTGTTGGGTACATTTTTTGTTGTTGTTGGGTAATTTTTTTTTTTTTTTATGTATTCAAATTTTAATAATTTAATTTTGGATGTAACACGTCTTCTGATTGGCTGAAAGTGTTTTGTCTATCAGCTCATAGACATAATTTTGTCATGTGACCGTGACGTCTTCAACATTTTTTTTAAAATTTGCTCCTTAAAAATGGAATTTAGAATTAAATTATAAGGAATGACTGTAATATTTTAACTGTATTCGAAATAACCTAAATGCGGGTTATTCAGTGTGCACAAATTTTGATGTTATTTCTTCATAGACAGAAAAAATATTACAGTCATTCCTTAAGTAAAAGAAAGGAAATGGAAAGATAACTTTAAGAAAAAATCCACAACTTGTTTACATAAAAACAGGTTTGATAAGATGGAGCTAATTTAAAAGGTGTCTAACATTCCAGTAAACCCAATTAACCAATCACTAATCTTATCTTTAGTTTTCTCAGGGTCCAGCTTATAGACAGGTTTCACAGTAAAATCTATTACCATCTACAACATCTTCTTTTTCTGATCCATCAATATCATCTTCTCCTGAAGAGTGGGATCTCTGAAAAAAAGGAAACCAAATTTTCAAACGATTACATCACTAAGTCTAGTATACATAATGTTGGCTAGTGTTATTCTCCAGATGGATTTTATCTAATCATTAGTTCATTTGACTCTGTAAAAGAGTAAGTCAATATAATTGGCTGGCAACTTACATAATACATATCACTTGGTAATAAATGTCAAATCTTGTTCTGGATATTTTTTTTATATTGGTGAAACTAGGATGCAATTATCATTTCTATGTTTACTTGCTACTGATTATTTCCTAATACCTCATGTTTTAAAAAAAAAAAGTTATTTATCACCTGGAATAATCAATTTTGCAGATTTCTCTCATTCAGTAAATAAATGGGGAATGTGTCCATGGGACACAGATGATGCCCCCACCTGCATATCATATAAAGTTATAAAGTGACATAACTGAAGAACGATATGAGTGACGCTACCCAAATTTGTACTTGATCTGAGTTTTGTGGTAATAAGTATTGTGTATAAGTTTAATAAAATTTGGTTGAGGCAAACTTAAGTTAGAGAACGGAAACGAAAAATGTAAAGGGGCATAACTCTAGAACAGTAAAAAGGACACCACCAAAATTCATACTTGATCTGTATTTTGTGGGTATAAGTATTGTGTATAAGTTTCATAACATTTGGTTGAGGCAAACTAAAGTTAAAGAACAGAAATGAAAAATTCAGCAATTTTTCCATTTGTAAAGGGGAATAACTCTAGAACGGTTAAAGTGATGACACCAAAATTCAAACTTGATCTGTGTTTTGTGGTAATAAGCATTGTGTATAAGTTTCCTAACATTTGGTTAAGGCTAACTTAAGTTAGAGAACGGAAACAAAAAATTCAGCAATTTTTCCATTTGTAAAGGGCATAACTCTAGAACGGTTTAAGTGACACCACCAAAATTCAATCTTGATCTGTATTTTGTGGTAATAAGCATTATGTATAAGTTTCATAACATTTGGTTGAGGCAAACTAAAGTTAAAGAACGGAAACGAAAAATTCAGCAATTTTTCCATTTGTAAAGGAGCATAACTCTAGAACGGTTAAAGTGACGCCACCAAAATTCAAACTTGATCTGTGTTTTGTGGTAATTAGCATTGTATATAAGTTTCATAACATTTGGATGAAGCAAACTAAAGTTAGAGAACGGAAACCAACTTTGGGACGTACATACATACATACGTACGTACGTACGTACATGCAGACAGACAAGGGTAAAACTTAATGCCCCCTCCGCTACGGCGGAGGCATAACAACTTTCTATAATAAAACCAGTCAACAAAAGTTGGAATGTATGCTAAACTGCATTTTGACAAGGAATAAAAAGTTATTATCTGGAATTTGTTTCAAATGGATATGCAGCAATTACCATAATTTAAAGTCTTTGGTTTGATGTGGCTGGGGATAAAACCCACAACCTCTCATGCTCAAGGCAATCACAAAACTGTGGTGTGTCTTCAGGGATGGAAAACAGTTGAATATATACTCATAAACCAATTTTAAATGGTTACTTCTATTAATTATATGTGATCATGTGTACATATTTTCCAAAAATAATCTTTTCTGTTTCCTTAAATGATTAAATTGAGTCATATAATAAACCTTACAACAACATTCTGAGACAATGGACTGACATGTGCTCCCCATATATGTGCTGTCTGATCTCCTGAACCAGTTAAAGCCAGTTCCTGGTTTGGATGGAATCGGATTGAGTTGACTGATCCCTGGTGACCAATGTACTGCAGTAAACATTGATTGGTACCAATGCACCATATTCTTGCAGTGTTATCTAAAATATAGATGTAGAGGTATATCTATGATATAGTGTTTTCTATAAACTCTAAGTCAAACCTGTATATATGTACCTTTTATACAAAAGTTCATTTATAAGCATTGTTAAGGATGTTTGCTCCTATTGTTTTTGAATTTTTGCCAGATACTCGGAATCATCTGGTTTTATCGATGTAGTGCCATTATAAATTTTGCCCACTTACCCCTACTATTCTTTTCATAATTTTATTACATCTAGTTTAAAAAGCCGTATTTGAAAATCTCATAAAATCCTTGTTATTTTTTAATTGTTTTTGAAAGAAAATGAGTGTCAATGTTAAATGTATGAAAATTCTAGAGAAAATCATTTCCCGCCAAATTTTCATTGGCTTATATTTCGAAAAAGGAAGCACACGAACCTTTCATTTTTTTCTGCTTTTTTAGTTCCATTATTTATATACTATCAATTTATAACAGTCTTTTAAAAAGCTTGTTATTTTGAAACAGAGTAGCGAACATCCTTAAATGGATTTTTTTAATGTTGTCCTTCATAGACAGCTGTGATTTGTTATATAGAGGTTCAATGGTATGTGGCGGTGTATTTATACATGCCCCAAAGTAAAACAGCAACCATCTTTATCATGGGCTTTACTTCCGTGATAGAAGAAGTCCAATTTACCATATTTCTAATAGTTGTTCATTGAGGTTAAAATATCTTTATCATGGGCTTTACTTCCGTGATAGAAGAAGTCCAATTTACCATATTTCTAATAGTTGTTCATTGAGGTTAAAATTTAATTCCTAATCAAAATGGATTTCTTTGACAACTTATATATCATAAGGGGAAAACTCTTCCAAATATATACAGTGGTATCATTTTAACACAATAGTGGACAGAACTCAAGACATTAGTATTTTAAAGAGTTTTGTAAAGATTAAATTCACTTTAAAGTACATGAAATATTTTTTTTTTATTCTAAAATAAATTAAAAACAAATTATATGGGGAAAAAGTTTACAGAAGTTTACAGAAGCAAATTAAAGACAGCACAAATAATTTGAAAAACTGTTTTAATCAAACCAGTTAATGCATTGGGTACCAAAAGGCAGTTATTATTTTATCCTATTATGTAAAACATTTTCTTTTATTTCCATGTAATTTTTTTTCTTCAAAATAATCAATCTCAGTGACATTTATATAGAAATGATTATATAAATCCTTTTTGAATCATGCTCAGTAGCTTGTAACCAAATTAACAATAACAAAAGCATTATTTCAGAGATACCAATGTCAACATTTAATATTGTGTAAGTGCAGAAAAAACCTGCTGAAGCTGTTCCAAGGACTGGTTGACTTGACCTTGACACACTGACCTCCCATACACCATCTCTGTGACCTCTGTAACTTCTTACAACAGAATAATTAGGTGAAGGATTTCTAAAACTGGAGACAATTTTGCTGGTAGAAGCTTTGTAGGTTGTCTTTATCTTCTGTGATATTTGTGTAGCTGAAATTAGAACACAAGACAATCCAAATGAATATTCTCTTTAATTACAAGTCTAAATTGAAAACAACGTTCAAACCTATGATTGCGTTGGATAAAAACCGCAATTTTTATACGTGTGCATGTAAAACAAATTTCTTGGTAGAGGGGTCTAAATACAGCACAAACAACATTTTCCAAAAGACCAAAATAGTGAAAAAGTATATTTTAACAAAATGCATTTGACTAACAGGTCAAACAACAGATGTTCTTAAACCCTGCTGACTGCCATTGGCGATTGCCAAATAAATTGACCACCAGTACAAAATGGATCTTAATATTAATTTAATACCAAACAGAAAACAATAAACTTGTGGAAAAGATGGTCAGGTATACCACAAACATGAGGTGCAAATATATATATATATATATACAGTGTACAATGCTAACAAACAATAGAATCACATTTTTTAATAAATGTAGAAGTTGGTGGCCCATTCTTTGATTTTAAATTACCCATTACAGTTTTGGTTTTAGCAATGTCTGCTATCTAAGATCAATATCAAAAGGAGTAGGTTCAGAAAGGGTTTATATTGGCCCTAAAATTCCATGAATTTTAATTAAAAAATGTAAACTTTAATGAAAAGATATGTAAAATGTCTGATGAATACAAAATTAACAAGCATTCTGTCAGTATTGCCTGGCAATACATAGTCCCCTACTGGTTAAAAATTCATTATACTGGAACAAAATGCTAACTTGATCTATAACTTGTCATGATGTAAACTATTTAACAAATATCAAGTCAATATCTTCAAGCATGACGAAAACAAATGTGGAAAATTGATTATTTGAGTGAATTTTCTAAGTCCAAGGACCATAACTCTGCACAAAATCATCAGACCAGACCAAAATTCGAACTTGATCTATAACTTGTCATGATAAAACTATATACCAATCATCAAATCAATATCTTCAAGCATGACAAAAAAAAGAGTGGAAAACTGATTATTTGAGTGAAATTTCAAAGTTCAAAGATCATAACTCTGCACAAAATCGTCAGACCGGAACAAAATTCGAACATGATCTGTAACTTATCATGATAAAACAATACACCAAATATCAAATCAATCTCTTCAAGCATGAAGAAAAAAAGTGTGGAGAACTGATTTGCTGGATTGACGGATGGACAGAGTGCAAACCTAAAGGCTCCTTCGACCTTGTCGGTAGGGGACTAATAAGCTCTGATAAATTACAACAGAAATGATGTCATAATTACAGTGCACTCTTAATATTGAAATCATAATTTCAAATAATTTTCTGGCTACAATTAGAAAGTTTTTGTGTCAGAGAACATTTTGCTTTATGCATGAACCACCATTATGTTTTCCACAGATGTGTATCTCTCTCATATGGAACTTTTTATAATATTTTGGTCGAAAAAACACACCTTAAAAATGCAATCAAACAGAAAATATGGTAAAGAGCTTTAGAAATGTTATATTTTAGAAACTGTCAAGATAGCCTTATACAAATAATAAACAGAAAAAATGTCTAGTTTATCTAAATTTGTATATTTTAGAACATAAATATTCGTTTTTTGATATGGTAACATGGTCCAATTTTATGGGCAAAATTAAGACCGTCCTGGCCTTACTTCTTTAGTGATATGAAGTTTTGTTTTTACAACCAAGAAAGAACAAGTAGTGTCAAATTATCTTCTTTTACAGTTACATACTACACAAAACTCATATCTTTTCTATTTTCATAATTCATAAGTAAAATTCATGCATCTGATTTGTACCAAGGCAACCCTTAGGAAATTCTTTGTTTGATGTTGCCTACCCATGCCTTGTAGGGTTGGGTATGCAGGTAATTTTTGTTTGTTTTGGCCAACAACATAAGTTACATGTTTCAGACAAGAAAACAACGTCACTTTAGAGCAGGAAAAAATCTTTAAAAAAAATTTGAAAAGATTTGTGTTATAAATTTTATCAGGTAGGCTGCTGCTTTTTAGGTGGGTAGGTAGGCAACATCAAACAATTTAAATTTTATCTTTAGCACAATAATTCAATACTTATAAGTTAAAACAGCTTGTGCACATTTGAATAAAATTCTACAGAAATGTACTTTTTTAATATTAAAAAATGTGAACTTTTTGAAGAAAATAACAGAAGCATCTACAATAGACTACAATACCTCTTTTAGGTTTGCTGGCACCAAGATCTGGTGCATCTAGACTATCAGTTAATGTCTTTTCACTTTCAAGTCTTTCTAGAACTTCTATTCTTTCACTCACTATAAAATAATGGATCAACTGTGTTTAAAGAATATTTACAAATAAAACCATTCATGTTCTAACACAAACAAGAGCTGTTTAAACAAATGGCAATTGTCAGAAGTCAATACTTTTCTGGTAAAGCAGCTTGTTTAATGTGACTTTACTTTAAGATTTACTTGAGTTCCTCCTTGATAATTTTATTTTGTATGTAATTCCTAATTTTAAACTACAAGAAAATTGGTTGTTTACATTCTCATCATTTGGTCATTTCTCATAGTTTTCTCATTGGCAATCATACCACATATCGTTTCTCATAGTTTTCTCATTGGCAATCATACCACATATCGTTTCTCATAGTTTTCTCATTGGCAATCATACCACATATCGTTTCTCATAGTTTTCTCATTGGCAATCTTACCACATATCTATTTGTTATATGCCTGAATTTTTTTCTGACGTTAACTAAAATTGAGAATGGAAATGGGGAATATGTCAAAGAGACAACAACCCGACCAAAGAGCACACAACAGCCGAAGGCCACCAATGGGTCTTCAATGCAGCGAGAAAATCCAGCACCCGGAGGTGGTCCTCAGCTGGCCCCTAAATAAAATTGTATACTAGTTCAGTGAAAATGGATGTAACCATAAACTCCAAAACATATAAATGAACTAAAATTAAAAAACATACAAGACTTAAACGAAGTCCAGAGGCTCCTGACTTGGGACAGGCACAAAAATGCAGCGGGGTTAAACATGTTTTGTGAGATCTCAACCCTCCCCCTATACCTCTAGCCAATGTAGAATAAAGAAACACATAGCAATACACAGAAAAACTCAGTTTAAAAGAAGTCTGAGTCCGATGTCAGAATAGGTAACAAAAGAAACTAAGCAAAATGACAATGATACATAAATGAACAAAGGACTACTAGCAGTTACTGACATGCCAGCTCCAGACCTCAATTAAACTGATTGAAAGATTATGTCTTCATCATATGAAAATCAAGTACATTATCCCTCCTGTTAGGGGTTTAGTATCATACCATCATAAAATATATACCGGTAAACTAAACTACTTTCACAAAACACAATAAAATGTAACACTAGAATAAACTTACATGCCTGGTTTTCTGCATACAAACTTTCAAATTCTTTTTCAATCTGACCAAACAAATTGTGAAGTTTTTCTCTGAAAAAAAAACTTTAAAATGCATTCCTTTGTTTATCTGAAGCAAACTGGCATCTTAGTATAATAAACCTTTTTCTTTACACTAAAGGGCATGTCAGTAAAGTATGCACTTATGGCCTGGTACAATTAACTTTCTTTAGTATTAATATGGACATTAATTGAAGAATTTCATTATTTTTGTTAAATTAGGGTTGTCTTTCATTGACCATGAGACACCAGTAACTTATATATAATTATAACAGTAAGTGGGTTAGGATGATTGTACTGCTGTAAAACTGGTTACCAATGCTGAGATTTACATGTTTGTCAAATTGACACCTAAGTAATAAGTTGGGAACTTTTATAACTGACTATATGGTATGTTTTTTTTTTCTAATTGCTGAAGCTGTGCAGTGACCTATAATTGCTTATATCCACATCATTTGAACTCTGGTGATAGTTATCTAATCTGCAATCATACCTTATTTTTATACTTAACAAATTTATGAAATTTTTTCTTCAAAGCCACTTAAGGTAGATAGGGTGTCTTCCTCCATCTTGGATTTTGAAATATCAGAAAACAATCGGTCTAGATCTTTAATAAAATTTGCAAATTTTGAGAGTAGTAGGTAATTCATGTGTAAGAATTTTCATTTCAAGATAGAAAATGACATGTTTTATCATATTTATGGTTGTATTTTACAAAAAATAGAATACTTTTGTTTGATTCATTTTTTCCACCTTTGCCACATAAGGGGAGGCAACTCAAATGTAAGGGCAGATAATTCAGATAAAGTTACTTTTACAATAGATTGTGTTAGGAATTTACCTATTCTTTTATGTAGCAAGAAAACGGGTCCGTGACCCATTTTTTTCTTTTTCTTATCTGAAAGCATAATATTAGAGCTATCTTCTCATATTTTATCTCAAAATTCTATGGTGTAGTTTTCGTTTTATGGCAGAAAATTGGATTTTCCATGCATAATCTATACAAAATCTGTCACTTTTGCACAACCTGTAGCGTGAAAATAAGCCCAGTGACCTATTCTTTTTATTATTTTTTTTTAAAAAGCATGATATAAACTAGGTTTTGGCAAATTATCAAAAAATTCTATGGATTATAATTTAGACACCCCATCTACCTTAAGCCTGGATCACATTATAAATTTACATAAAAACCAGGATAAAAGTTATTCACAAAATCTTTTCAAAATAAATGGGGAATGTGCCCATGGGACACAGATGATGCCCCTGCTTGCATATAACGTTATAAAGGGACACAACTCAAGAACGGTATGAGTGACGCTACCCAAAGTCGTACTTGATTTCAGTTTTGTGGTAATAAGCATTGTGTATAATTTTCATAACATTTGGTTGAGGCAAACTTAAATTTCAAGATCGAAATATCGTGAGCCTAAATCCATCAATTGGAAATACAACTTCAAAATACTGATGGATTCAGTCGAGGATTATGCCAGGCAATGGGCTAAACGCGAGAAAGAAGACATAGATACTCTTTCCGAATGGATTAAGGCTGTGAGGTCGTTGATACAAATCCGAATTAAGAAACTAAATGGGCATATCAATACCCACGCTACATCAATTTTTAAAGACCCAAATGTTGCAAAACACTTGTCCTACCTCCATGACAAATATGTTGTTGTCCCCGCAGATAAAGCCCCAAACAACATCGTTTTTGTGTGTAAATATCATTACATAAATTGCTTGATAAATGAATTAGGTATTGACAATTCACTTGGAAACTCAACATATACCCTCACGACACTTACCAAAGAGGAAATCCTAGATAATCATAGGTCTGTTCTATGTTCCTTTGGAATTTCAACCAAAGACGAAGAACTGGATCTTCCATCACTGAATTGGATACCTAAACTACATAAGTGTCCTTACAAACAACGGTATATTGCTGGGTCTTCCAAGTGCTCCACGAAACCTCTTTCTAAATTATTAACATCTATTTTATCAGCAATCAAAGCCGGGCTCCAAAGTTATTGTGAAACTGCCTATTCTAGAGGTGGCGTGAATCAGATGTGGATACTAAAAAATTCCAAAGATCTTTTAGAGTACATACAATCTAAGACTCTCTCATCTTGCAATAGTATTAAAACATTTGACTTTTCTACACTTTACACAAGTATTCCCCATTCCAAACTAAAAGACAAATTGAAAGAGTTGGTATTACTTTGTTTCATTAAAAAGAATGGCGAACGTAGATACAAGTATCTTGTCTTGGGGAGGGATAAATCCTACTTTGTAAAGAATCACTCTGATTCAAACAAAAAATTCTCTGAAACTGACATTATCAAGATGCTTGATTTCTTGATTGACAACATATTTGTTACATTTGGAGGACGTGTTTTTCAACAGACTGTCTGAATTCCAATGGGAACCAATTGTGCCCCTCTTCTTGCCGACTTGTTTCTTTATTATTATGAGGCTGGCTTCATACAGGAGCTTCTTAGGAAGAAAGATAAGAAGTTAGCAATATCCTTTAACTCTACGTTCCGCTATATAGATGATGTTCTCTCACTAAATAATACAAAATTTGGTGACTATGTTGAACGAATCTATCCCATCGAACTAGAGATAAAGGATACTACAGATACAGTTAAGTCTGCCTCAAATCTTGACTTACATCTAGAAATTGACAATGAGGGTCGGTTGAAAACAAAACTTTACGACAAAAGAGATGATTTCAGCTTCCCAATTGTGAACTTTCCATTTCTATGTAGCAACATTCCAGCAGCGCCTGCATACAGAGTATATATCTCCCAATTGATACGATATTCCCGGGCTTGTGTTTCCTATCATGATTTCCTTGATAGAGGATTGCTGCTCACAAGGAAGCTATTAAACCAAGAGTTCCAAATGGTGAAGTTGAAGTCATCCCTTCGTAAATTTTACGGACGCCATCACGAGTTGGTTGACCGTTATGGAATAACCGTTTCACAGATGATATCGGATATGTTCCTTATGTCGTAACTACAATACCCTTCCCTTTTCATGAATGTGACTTACAGAATTAGACTATTTACCGGATTTGTAATAACATAAGCAACTCGACGGGTGCCACATGTGGAGCCGGATCTGCTTACCCTTACGGAGCACCTGAGATCATCCCCAGTTTTTGGTGGGGTTCGTGTTGCTTAGTCTTTAGTTTTCTATGTTGTGTCATCTGTACTATTATTTGTCTGATTGTCTTTTTATTTTTGGCCATGACGTTGTCAGTTTGTTTTCGATCTATGAGTTTGACTGTCCCTCTGGTATCTTTCATCCCTCTTTTAAGTTAGAGAATGGAAACGAAAAATTCAGCAGTTTTTCCATTTTGAAGGGGCATAACTCTAGAACTGTAAAAGTGACACCACCAAAATTCAAACCTGATCTGTGTTCTGTGGTAATAAGCATTGTGTATAAGATTCATAGCACTTGGTTGAGGCAAAGTTAAGTTAGAGAACGGAAAATAATTTCGGGACGTATGGATGGACGTACAGACGGACAAGGGTAAAACATAATGCCACCTCCGCTACGGCAGAGAATAAAAATTTCCATTGCATTCAAGTGTAATCAATGTCATTATAAAATCAAATTGATTTCTTCAATTTCCAGGAACACATAATTTATCAATGTAAAAATCTGGATAAAGAAATTATTGACAAAATCTCCCAATGCCCATCCAAATGAGAGGGGGCGGTCAGGGGGGTACCTTTCTCCTTTCTCCCACCCCCTCTCTCCTTTCTCCCGCCCCTCTTCTCTTGTCTCCCGCTCTAAAACATGAAAAACTAATGTATAGGAAGCTCATTTTAAAAGAAATCGATCAAATGTCTTGTTTTTATGGCTCGTCCCCGTCGTGTCCTTTCACGAGATAGAAGTGTTGTTTCTTCTGCTTCAAGAATCTCAATAAATTTTTCACTAAATGTTAAGCTTTCTGTTTGCAATGAATTTGTAAGTCTGATGCACGCCGTTTCCCGATGATTTTTTTTTTCAAAATAGAAATCCAAATTATAGAAACGCAGGATAATGTTTGAAAATACGGGGAATTGTTGTGCCACTATTAGTGCAATTTGGTTAAGAAACCAATTAGTTTTAAAATGGTTGCTAAAAACGCTGCTTGCAAAATAGAAAAATAGAATTCATTTGGAAAAGAATAGTTATACGGATATAATTTAGCGAAAATGCATAGTACAAGCAGCCGTGGAAATTCAGACATAAAATGGTTTGTTTGAATGGAATTAACAAAGAAGAATAATTGTCTCCGAACTTGGTAATTTTGCCGCACAGCTTTTTCTATGTTCCAAGTGTAACCAGTTTCTGAACATTATTGGACTGTACAGAAAATATGGTTCCGGAAGCTTGTATAAAATAAATTGCCAACACTGTAATCGTATAAGCGCTAAGCCTAGTTTACACAGGACAGCAACATCAGAATGAGGCAAAAGTTAACAAAGGCTTGACATTTTGGGATGTCACCACTTAATGTGCACCCGATGTGCCGAAATAAAATTAGATCATGCAGATCCCGTTACATATTTTTCTTTCAATTCGGTTTTTCAAAACAAATTATTTCTCGAAATTTACAATCACACTATTCATTAAAAAACAGTGGCCAATAATAAATGAATAATCGGTGCTTTGATGAAGTTTAATCCCAAATAGCGCTCTGAACGCAAAAAAAAATTAAAGAGATACTTTTGTTTACATGCATATAGTCCGCAACTACGCACACAGCTCACACGTTTACATCATACAGAGTAAATACTATAATAAAAATATGTATTATTTAATTTATCACTTTTACAACTGATGGAATGTTTTTATAAATAACCTTTTTGATGGCTGCATTAAATTAAATGTGTCTTTTAGACACAACTAATTCAAATTGTATTGTATCGTCCTGATAATGCCTGAAATATTTGCCACCGGACAATTTTCAACCTCAAATCAATCATTTCAAACTACTTGAAAATCACAGTGTACTTAATCAAATTTTTAAAGCACTTTATCCTTGCATGAATGTAGGGTGGCATTACCTTTGTCTAGTTTGATAGGGTTAAGTAGAAGATATGTTTTTTTTCTAAGCTGAATGTGCACCCAGTTACATGTAAGTTGAAATAAAATTAAATCAGTAAAATTGATAAGAAATTTACGAAACTGGACAGGGGAAATGACAACAAAATAAAAAAACACCATTCAGATCCCATTACATATTTTTTCAATACCTCGGAGTAAAAATAACCTTACTCTACATTCAGTAACGTCATCCCTTTTCTGTCAAAATCTTTGCATATCAGTAAATTTTGAAGCAATTTGTCTAAAAAAAAAAGGTTTTGATATGCGTTTGATTTGATTTATGTGTTGTTAACGCCATTTTTAAGTACCGCTTTTGAGCTATAATTTTAGTGTCGGCCAGTTTTGATTGGTGGAGGAAGCCGGGAGTGCCCTGAGAAAACCACCGACCTTCGATAGGAAAAACGGACACTCCTAGTCAATTAAGATTGGAGTCGAGTGCACCCGCATGAGCGGGATTCGAAACTCACAACCTCAGTGTTGACTGGCTAGTAATTACAGTAGTAACTACTTAGACCACTTGGCCATCAAGTTCCCTTTTTTGACATGTGTCTCTATACATATAAAAAAGAAGATGTGGTGTGGTTGCCAATGAGACAACTCTTCACGAGAGACTTAATGACATAGAAATTAACAACTATGGATAATTGTATGGCCTTCAACAATGAGCAAAGCCCTTTCCGCATTGTCAGCTAATGGGAAAACTAACAGCCTTATTACTGTACAAAAAATGAACCAAAAACAAAAATGTAACACAGCAACAAATGACAACCACTGAATGACAGGCTCCTGATTAGAAACAGACACATGCAAACAGAATGTGGTGGGTTAAACATATTAGCGTGATCCCCAACCTCCCCCGGGACAGTGGTGTAACAGTACAACATAAGAACGAACTATAAGAATCAGTTAAAAAGGCTTAACTCATCAGATGGATACAAATAGAAATACATGTAAGAATAAATTGCTTCGCCGAGCGCAGCTGGATACGACCGCAGAGGTCCAACCCTGAACAGTTGGGGCAGAAATGGAAACAATATTCGCGCTTGATACAGGTCTGAATTTGGATTGTAATTAAATATTTGACACATAATAGGTTTCTGACACAGAATAACTGTAGTCAAAGAACTTAGAATTGGTTATTTGATTTGAATTTATATTCAAATGTTTGCTATTGTGCAATACACTATGATGTTGCGAATTGACCCCCCCCCCCCCCCCCCCCCTTTTTCCAAAAATAAAAATTCTTTCCCTCAAGATGTGGTCATAATCTGAATTCAAATTTCCAATGGTATTTGCATCCATAATTACCCATTTAAATCCATCATAAAAGTCTTAAAATAGAAAATGACATACATAATCATGGCTAAAATTAATTAATAGTAACTTCTAAATATAATTTGACAGCTAATCACATCAAGATAATACAACATTTCTTTATACATAATTTAAAAGCAGTGTAAGGGAGTTAATTCAAACATACACAACATTGTACTTTAAATGTGTTTGGATTATTTCCCTTACACTGCTTTTAAATTGTCCATTAACCATGAAACCTTTTTTCCCCCCTTTTTTGCCCCTAATTCCTAAACGGTTTGAGCCATAACCCCCCAAAGTCAATACTAACCATCCCTTTATGGTATGGAAACTTGTGGTATAATTTCAGAGAGATTCATACACCGTTCCACAAGTTGTTGTCTGGAAACTAGAAAAATGCTTATTTGGGACCTTTTTTGGCCCCTAATTCCTAAACTGTTAAGACCATAACCCCTTAAAGTTATTGTCCGGAAACCAAATGTCTTCCGGGAACGACGACGACGTGATACCAATATACGACCGCAAAATTTTTTGCGGTCGTATAAAAACATAGAATGGACGTGGCCGGGTACTTGTACATCCCAACAAAACAAAGACACCAAGTACAGATCTGAGAGTACTGGCAGTTACTGACAGCTAGTTCAAAGCCACTTACAACTAATAAAACAAAATCATGCATCTAAGACTAAATTATCAGTCAGTACACATTCAACATCCAATGGACTTAGCGTAAAGATGTCACAAACAGCAGAGAAAAACATGTCCTTGTGCAATGCCACAATATAGGACCTGTATCGTTGCATTGCACATGGTCATGTTTTCCTCTGCTGTTTATGACATCTTTACACGACCTGTATCGTTGCATTGCACAAGGTCGTGATTTTCTCTGCTGTCTATGACATCTTTATACTAAATCCATTGGATGTTGAATGTGTACTGAATGATAATTTTGAGGTATCGACAGATTGTAGATCCATGTAGACTCAGTATAACATCCTGGAAATTGTTAGTTTTCAGTCTTTCTCCGAATATAAGAGATCGTAATGAATGAGTGACGACGCTTAAGAGTATTTATGAGGTCGTTTTCATTACTATGACATTAATTAACACTTTCATGAAGCTTTATATTAACTAATTTAATAAAATAATTGTTTTCCAGCTCACTTTTATTAATTTTTATATACATTTTGTACATTTTTGTCTCCCTTTTCAATTCCTTTTCTCCTTTCTCCTACCCCCTCTCTTCTTTCTCCCACCCCCTCTCACCTTTCTCCCGCCTGTGCTCTCCTTTCTCCCACCCCCTCTCTCCCTGTCTCCCTTTACCCTGTCTGCCCCCTCAAATCAAATGCCCCTTTCCCCTACCAATCATCACAATTATAGGGACCAATAAAATGATTTGTAGATTTCAATTTGCCTGTTTATTCATTTTTCTAATGACTTAATGTTTCTCTATATCCATATTGAATAGGGAGATGTGGTATAATTGCTTATGAGACAATTATCCAGAACAGACCAAATGATGTTAAAAACTAAAGGTCAGCATGAAGCCTTTAAAACTCATACTGTATAGTAAGCTGTAAAATGCCTAGAAGTCATTATTTTCAAGACCTTTCGTGTGCCCAACATTTTTTTCCTGAATTTAACATGACTTATTTTCAAATATAAAGGCTTTTACATATATATACAAATGTACATGCAAAAATTTGTCAAAAATCATCATTTTAGGTCAATAACCTATAAAAGTAGTCGATTGATGGTTTCACCCATATTGGCATTCATACAGCTATCTTGTACTGTTTATTTTTTTCCATGCTACAGTAACTGGCTTTCTATTATAGTTTTCAAGATAAAAGGCTAAATGCTTTAATTCGTCTGAAATCATCATGTAAGGGAAATAACTCCTGTATGGTGGTTTCAATCATGCAGATATTTTGTAGATCTTATATTGCTGATCATGACATCTGTATCATTACAACATATACTAAATCAATACAAATACCTCTATCTGCCTAGTATGACCTGTCACCATAAGGCAATAGCAATACGAAGTAGCAAGTGATGGAGACGATTAATTTGCCATGTCATACAAAAGTGGAAAATTCCAAATCCAATCTGATGGGTCTGCATCCCTTACAATTAGTTTATAAGTCCATATAAAGTTAGTGATAATCAAATAATTAACCATACCTCTGTTCTGGAGGTAAGAACCCTTCACATTCAGACTCATATCTACTCATTCCTGTCGCATCAGCTCTCATTTGATGTCGTCTGTTTCCTCGTTCAGGTTTCTGTTTTGCTTTGTTTGCATTATCTCCAGGCATGCTCAGTTCCGGATCATATATCTTTTACAAAGACGTAATCTTATGTCTTCAATCTATATACTGTAATGAAATTAGTGAATAATGAATTAGTTTTGGTGTCCGATTATTGTCCTAATCATATTCCCTGGAGTGAAATGAGTTGAAAAGTTCTCAATTATATCACGGAAGAAACAGAAGAAACGCATTCATTTCAAATGGTGAAATTTACAACACAAAAGAGTATGTAAATGACAGAAATGTCCTGTTATGTTAATCCAAGAATGAAATTGATCTTTAAAAGCTGAATTCTTCTGAGGGATAATTAAATCATCCTTGCAAAATAAATCTTGATAGTTCTCAAAGAAACCAATAATTGATATATATCTACTGTGAAAACTGTTCTATTTCAAACTCAGCAGAAGTATTGATTTCTTGATTTGTAAGCTTATAAAAGAAAAATCAAGTAACTAAATATAACACTATTAAAAATAAAACATGCAAGTAGCTTATTTATTACTGAACCAAAAGTTTGCATTACTTACATGTACATGCAATCAACCTTACAAATATTTAATCATAACATGTACATGATATATGACAGCAATATTTTTTATCATAATTATGCCAAATTGAAGAAAAACCGACAAAATTTCTATGATTTATGAAATTTAGGCTGCAGTCATCTTTGAACTGATACATGAAACATATTACATTTTGCAAGTTAAAAGTACAAATCCAATATACATTGTACTATCTGGTGACATCAGTAATTATTTAAGTTTATCCAACTGACTTTTAAGCTGCTATTTTTAAGAAGGCAAATATTATTGTTGACCTGTATTAATGCTTCTACCTATATGGAACATATACATGGATTTAATCTTCAGATGAACTTTTAATTTCCCAGCGATTTTGATATTGAGTTTGATTCACATTTACAGAGAACACCTTACATTCAGCAGATTTGCCTGACCTGTTAGGAATTTTTTTCTGTTTTTGTTAACAAACAGAAAATAAGCATTTTGCCATCATCATTCTCAGACTATGACTGTCCTGAACTGCTGTTGTTTAATGATCCTTTCAGATTTATGGATTATGAGTTCTTTGCACTATATCAAAATCACTATAAATGGAAAGTTTGGAAGAACTGTCTGCATAATTTCACAAAAAACTTGATATACACTATTGCATAAAGTTTAAAAAGATAATTATTATTTCAGTTGATAAAATTAGCTCAAAGTGTCACTATCAATGTCAGGGGGTCATTAAATTTTACAGCTCTTCTATAAAAGCATGCAAAGCAAACCTTTGATCAACTTGCTTGCTATGATTGTTTGGATGATTGTAAACAAAAGGTGGTAGTCTGTTTCAGTCTGTTTCAGTCTGTTTACTATAAACTGGAATTTGATTGGACAATAAACATTAACTTCATTGCATGTCAATTTTTATTGTCTAATCAAATTCCAGTATATAACAGACTGAAACTCGGCCTACCTATATATTGTTTACAAACATCCAAGCAAACATAGCAAACAAGTTGATCAAAGGTTTGCTTTGCATGGTTTTATAGAAGAGCTGTAATAACAAATTCCTTTCAATTGTTATTTTGTATTTTTATGAAATCATATTCACCGTTTCAATCCTTTGTCTGCTGTGGATAGTTGTCTCATTAGCAATTATATCACATCTCCTTATCTTAATATGGATGCAGAAAAACAATGAGTTAAAAAAATGTTTTGTCATGCATGGAAAAAAAAATATCAGGCAGGTGTAGTTTTTTACTGAATTTTGACTTATCATTTTTCAGAAAGAGGTATTAAAAATAAACTTATTCAACATAAACAACAAATAAAGTAATTAATTTTCATCTATACAGGTGTTCGTTCTTCATTGGAAAAAGTGCATTTTACCATATTTAAATATACCTAAACTTGTAGTGAGGTGAAAGTTTTTTTGCTACGAGTTGAAGGACTCACTGTGACTTTGAGATGAAGAACAGCAATTAAAGCGGTTCTTTTGCTTTTTGTGTTTTTTTTTTTTGCTGTGCATGAACTGATTTTGTGTCATGGATGAATACCTCATATCCTTTGTTTTTCCATTACAAATATCATAAGCTTATACTGTTCAATTCAGTGTTCACTGACAACTGTGACTAATTACCCTAAGTTTTTATACGACCGCAAAAATTAAAAAATTTTTGGTCGTATATTGGTATCACGTTGTCGTCAGAAGACAGATGGTTTCCGGATAGTAACTTTAGTATAAGTAAATAGAAATCAATAAAATTTTAACACAAGGTTAATAACCACTAAAGGAAGGTTGAGATTGATTTTGGGGGTTATGGTCCCAACTGTTTAGGAATTAGGGGCCAAAAAAGGGGCCCAAATAAGCATTTTTGTAGTTTCCAGACAATAACTTGTGTTAAAGTGTATGAATCTCTCTGAAATTATACCACAAGTTTCCATACTACAAATGGATGGTAAGGATTGACTTTGGGGGGTTATGGCTCAAACCATTTAGGAAATAGGGGCAAAAAAAGGGGAAAAACAAGGTTTTTTCTGGTTAAAGGACAATTGAGACAATTTAAAAGCAGTGTAAGGGAGGTAATCCAAATCCAAATCAAAATCAATTTAAATAACACTGTTTGATTACCTCCCTTACACTGCTTGTAAATTATGTATTAAGAAATGATGATTGTCTGACCATAAACTTGAGGGAAAGAATTTTTGAATAAGGGAAAGGGGGGAGGTGAAAAAAATTGGAGGGGGACCATTTTTTCTCATTTCAGATTTCAGAAATTAAAAGAAAATTTCTTCAAATATTTTTTTCTGGGGGTTAATATTCAACAGCATAGTGTATTGCACAAACGCAAAAAAACGGGGTAAAAATTTTTTTTATTGGGGGGGGTCAATTCGCATAGTGTATTGCACAAAAGCAAAAAATTTAATATAAATTCAAATCATATAACCAATTTGAAGTTCTTTGACTACAGTTATTCTGTGTCAGAAACCTATTAAGTGTCAAAAATTTAATTACAATCCAAATTCAGACCTGTATCAAGCGCGAATATTGTGTCCATTGTGGCCCCAACTTTTCAGGGTTGGACATCTGCGGTCGTATCCAGCTGCGCTCAGCGAAGCAATTTATTTACTATTATCAGGGAAATATGCATGCCACTGATTTTACAAGTAAAAAAGACCCTGCCTACCTATTCATCTTTTAATACAGATTTTATTTTTTGTCTTTTCTTTAAAAAAAAAAATCCATCTCATTAATCCTTAATAATTCATCTTTAATTTTATGCAGTGTAGATTAAAAGTTAATATATATGATATAGGTAAATGATCAAATCTTTTATGGCTTACTCTACATGTATATATTATAATAATATATATCAAACATCTCGACGCATTACATTTGTGAAAAATCCATGTTTGCGCGACAAAACACTTTACGTTTGAGCTAATTTTACCTGTTGAAAAGGTTTGCCGGAACCTACTGTAAACATTACTTATATCTTCAAGTACATTTATGAAAGCATGACTTGTTTAAGTTTTACCCAGACTGGAGTATAGAAGATTGTTAAGTTCTCATCATAATCGTTAAATTTCACTTCTTTGATAAATCTGATGTATTAATTACCAGCTTTTGTCGAGTAATTGTTGACAAAATACCAAAGCAATTCAAGATCACTATAAAACAACAGAACCCAAGCTGAGTTCAAGTTGATAAAAGCATAAAAAAGTTGTAACAACAAAAATTGTTTGAATATCCTTTGAAGTACCGACCTTGCAGCATTAATGGAACCGCAAATACATTGTAGCATGTTTCAATAATTCAGCCATATCAAAAAACAGGCACCCACAGGTTACATGTTACTTTTATATTTAATAAATTACATTTTCTACAAACTAAATCTAAGACCAAAAATAGAATAATGTTATGTTAGGTCCAAGGATAACTTGCAATTTCATTATAACATATACGTAGGTGTAATGTTGTACAATCTACATTGATGAATCTGTTCACATTGATGGTAAATACCAACAAATGAAAATAAAGAAAATTCATAAGGGGTTCCAGAACCATGTGCCTCACAGTGTAAAAGTGTAATGTTGACTTAAAAAGTGAGCCCATTTATCAGTAAAATACAGATTCTAAAAAAAGTTCCAACTTATTCTATAAATGCTATTTCATGCATGGTCTTGAGATTAGCTTTTGTCCAAGTTTCATAACAATCCATGAAGGTTTACAAATGTATCATGTCAAAAATGTTTAATCCCAGACTGCCTGTAAATGTTAACGATAAAAACTAAGTTATCTATCAGAAAAATACTGAAAATGAAAAAAATATATATTCAAAAGTTTGCTTCAATGTCACGTGGAATGGTCTCAACCAATCAAATATTGATTAAGCTATAAAATTTAACATACAGTGGAATAATATCTCTTAATCATAAAAAAGCCTCTGCCAAAGTTTCATAAAATTCTATGAAGGTTTGATAACGTAATTGATGTGTAACAAACTTTAAGTTAAATACCGGTACAGAAAAATGAAAACAAATATTTTCAAACTTTGCTCTGAATACTGTATTTTGGTCAAAACTTTAAGCTTCTGTCTAAATTTCCTAAAATTCCATGAAAAGTTGACAAAGTCCATTTATCAGTAAATTATGGAACAAGAGTGCACACGCTGAAATGTCTCGCCTTCTTTACTAATCATTGATATTATGTTGATAGTCCTAAATATAAAGCTTTATTACAACTGTCACATAAACTTAACATTAACCAAGTAAACTAAACATTGACCAATGAACCATGAAAATGAGGTCAAGGTCAGATGAACCATGCTAGGCAGGCATGTACAGCTAACAATTCTTCCATACAACAAATATAGTTGACCTATTGCTTATAGTTTAAGAAAAACAGACGAAAACACAAAAACTTTAACACTGAGCAATGAACCTTGAAAATGAGGTCAAGGTCAAATAAAACCTGCGTGACTGACATATAGATCATAAAATATTTCCATACACCAAATATAGTTGAACTATTGCATATAGTATTAGAAAAAAAGACCAAAACTCAAAAACTTAACTTTGACCACTGAACCATGAAAATGAGGTCAAGGTAAGATGACACCTGCCAGCTAGACATGTACACCTTACAATCATTCCATACACCAAATATAGCTGACCTATTGCATGCAGTATTAGAAAAAAAGACCAAAACTCAAAAACTTAACTTTGACCACTGAACCATGAAAATGAGGTCAAGGTAAGATGACACCTGCCAGCTAGACATGTACACCTTACAATCATTCCATACACCAAATATAGCTGACCTATTGCATGCAGTATTAGAAAAAAAGACCAAAACTCAAAAACTTAACTTTGACCACTGAACCATGAAAATGAGGTCAAGGTCAGATGACACCTGCCAGCTAGACATGTACACCTTACAATCATTCCATACACCAAATATAGTAGACCTATTGCATACAGAATAAGAAAAACAGACCAAAACACAAAAACTTAACTATAACCACTGAACCATGAAAATGAGGTCAAGGTCAGATGACACCTGCCAGCTAGACATGTACACCTTACAATCATTCCATACACCAAATATAGTAGACCTATTGCATACAGTATAAGAAAAACAGACCAAAACACAAAAACTTAACTATAACCACTGAACCATGAAAATGAGGTCAAGGTCAGATGACACCTGCCAGCTAGACATGTACACCTTACAATCATTCCATACACCAAATATAGTAGACCTTTTGCATACAGTATAAGAAAAACAGACCAAAACACAAAAACTTAACTATAACCACTGAACCATGAAAATGAGGTCAAGGTCAGATGACACCTGCCAGTTGGACATGTACACCTTACAGTCCTTCCATACACCGAATATACTAGACCTATTGCTTATAGTATCTGAGATATGGACTTGACCACGAAAACTTAACCTTGTTCACTGATCCATGAAATGAGGTCGAAGTCAAGTGAAAAATGTCTGACGGGCATGAGGACCTTGCAAGGTACGCACATACCAAATATAGTTATCCTATTACTTATAATAAGAGAGAATTTAACATTACAAAAAATCTGAACTTTTTTTTCAAGTAGTCACTGAACCATGAAAATGAGGTCAAGGACATTGGACATGTGACTGACGGAAACTTCGTAACATGAGGCATCCATATACAAAGTATGAAGCATCCAGGTCTTCCTTCTTCTAAAATATAAAGCTTTTAAGAAGTTAGCTAACCCCGCCGCCATCGCCGCCGGATCACTATCCCTATGTCGAGCTTTCTGCGACAAAAGTCGCAGGCTCAACAAAAATGAATATAAATATCTTAAAAATTTAATTTTGCTCTGGATACTGTGCAATTTATTATGGTAATAAAAAAGCTTCTGTCCAAATTTCCTAAAATTCCATGAAGGTTTGACAAAGTTATTGGTCTAAAAAAGCTTTTACTACAGACTGAACCTAAATGTTGACGCTGATGCTGGAATCTACGATCGCTATGTCTTGCTTTCACGATATAAATGTTGCTGGCTCGACAAAAACATCAGAAATAAACAGAAATAGAAAATAATAACCTGAGGTGATATGTACATGTGACTCCTCACTACAGGCACTTGTTTCTATCCATTATAGGGATATCCTGTACTTGGCGATTGCAATACAGGTATACCAGATAGAATGGCAATTTGATAAATCTTTGGGAGAATTATCTATCAACCTTATTGTCATCGGATATATGTATCCAATATATTTTGTTTCATTTATTTAACATTTTGTTATTTGTGTTTTCAGTGTTACATGTATATAAAAGAGGGACGAAAGATACCAGAGGGACAGTCAAACTCAAAGATCGAAAACAAACTGACAATGCCATGGCCAAAAATAAAAAGACAAACAGACAAATAATAGTACAGATGACACAACATAGAAAACTGAAGACTAAGCAACACCAACCCCACCAAAAACTGGGGGTGATCTCAGGTGCTCCGGGAGGGTAAGCAGATCCTGCTCCACATGTGGCATCCGTCGTGTTGCTTATGTTATTACAAATCTGGTAAATAGTCTAATTCGGTAGGTCACATTCGTGAAAAGGGAAGGGTATTGTAGTTATGACATAAGGAACATATCCGATATCATCTGTGAAACGGTTATTCCATAACGGTCAACCAACTCGTGATGGCATCCGTAAAATTTACGAAGGGATGATTTCAACTTCACCATTTGGAACTCTTGGTTTAGTAGCTTCCTTGTGAGCAGCAATCCTCTATCAAGGAAATCATGATAGGAAATACAAGCCCAGGAATATCGTATCAATTGGGAGATATATACTCCGTATGCAGGCACTGCTGGAATGTTGCTACATAGAAATGGAAAGTTCACAATTGGGAAGCTGAAATCATCTCTTTTGTCGTAAAGTTTTGTTTTCAACCGACCCTCATTGTCAATTTCTAGATGTAAGTCAATATATGAGTCAGGCTTAACTGTATCTGTAGTATCCTTTATCTTTAGTTCAATGGGATAGATTCGTTCAACATAGTCACCAAATTTTGTATTATTTAGTGAGAGAACATCATCTATATAGCGGAACGTAAAGTTAAAGGATATTGCTAGCTTCTTATCTTTCTTCCTAAGAAGTTCCTTTATGAAGTCAGCCTCATAATAATAAAGAAACAAGTCGGCAAGAAGAGGGGCACAATTGGTTCCCATTGGAATTCCAACAGTCTGTTGAAAAAACATGTCCTCCAAACGTAACAAATATGTTGTCAATCAAGAAATCAAGCATCTTGATAATGTCAGTTTCAGAGAATTTTTTGTTTGAATCAGAGTGATTCTTTACAAAGTAGGATTTATCCCTCCCCAAGACAAAATACTTGTATCTACGTTCCCCATTCTTTTTAATGAAACAAAGTCAGGGTTGGCAAAGTATTACCCGGGCGGGAAAACCCAGGTCCCGGTTTTCCCGGGCTGGGCAATACTCCCAGAAACGGGTAATACTGGGCAATACTGAGTAATATGATTTTTCAAGCTTATTTTTACACAAAATAGTAAAGACTTGTTGTATTTTAATAGTATTATAGCTAAATATATTCATTTTATACAGATACAACAATGTAACCATTGAGAGTCATTCCTGAAGATTGAAAATTCAATTTCTTCCTTTTCTCCACTAATTCTATGAAGGCAGAATACAAGTTTTGCACATTTCAGGATACCTTGCTAATTTCCAAGCTTTTTTTTTAAATAATCAAATTTGAAACTTTGAAAAAATACATTTTATTGCAGTGTTTAACATGTTTAAGTGAATTATAATTTTAGTTGTCATACAATCATAATGCTAAATAAACACCCTAAGGGGACAGACCATGAACTCTTATACATGTTATAGAAATCAAAAGGCTGATTGTTGTTATGTAAACAAATCTTTGTGGGGCATCCGGGGTGACCCTGTTCCATTTTATAAACACAGATATAAAAAAAAAAAAATGGATGTTTGATACATAGAAAATATACCGTATCCTGTTACAGTTTTGTACTTTTTTATACTTTGAGGACTGAGCGAATCAGGTGAGTGTGTGATTTAGTATGTTTTATTTTTATATGGTATTATGTTTGGGGAAGGTTAACTTTCTGGTAATAATCTAGACCCGTCACGGCCTGGCTGGGGAATTGGGTAGGCAAATGCTCACATTAATCTGTACCGATACAGGCTCCAAATGTCCTCCTTTATACGCCATAACTCATGGTGGTGCTCCTTATAAAGGAGGCTCATATGGAGACAAGAAGAAGAAGAAGTTATTATCTGAATAATTACTTATTAATTAGTGATGTACATAAACATATGATAAAACTTTGTAAACATTTTTAGTAATGAACAAAAAATATTTAAAAGTACTTTTCCTCACATCTAATTGTTATTTCTTAATATTAGTTATATTTATTAAAAAAAACTTTAAGTAGATAGATTTTTAGGAGGATTATTAAGAAAAGCTTTTGACACTTGTCTTATGTATCTTCATGTACACTTGTCTTAGAATTGCTGGACCATTAATATTTTCTCAAATTTATAAACTTTATATTAAGAGTTTCAAACAAATGAACTTATAAATTAAAATACTATATCTTATTTTATTAAAATCTTGCATTTGTGATTAATCCTCTTTAACATTCAGGCCAGTATTTCATATTACCCAGTATTACCCGGTAAAACCCGGGTTTTCCCAGTATTTCCCACTGGGCTGGGCAATACTCATAAAACCCGGGTTTTTGCCAACCCTGAGTTACAAAGTAATACCAACTCTTTCAATTTGTCTTTTAGTTTGGAATGGGGAATACTTGTGTAAAGTGTAGAAAAGTCAAATGTTTTGATACTATTGCAAGATAAGAGAGTCTTAGATTGTATGTACTTTAAAAGATCTTTGGAATTTTTTAGTATCCACATCTGTTTCACGCCACCTCTAGAATAGACAGTTTCACAATAACTTTGGAGCCCGGCTTTGATTGCTGATAAAATAGATGTTAATAATTTAGAAAGAGGTTTCGTGGAGCACTTGGAAGTATTTTGAAGTTGTATTTCCAATTGATGGATTTAGGCTCACGATATTTTGGACCTTTGGATAACAAATTTCACAGGGAAGTGTTATTGACAATGTTGAGTTGCATTTGGTTTGGTATAGGTATAAGAAATTATTGGTACAGACTGATCTTTAAAATAAGGAGGTATTTTCGACTGAACTAATTTATGATGAAGGATATTGCCTAAGTTGATGCCATCAAGACCTTTGTTGGCAAAGGAAAGTTTAAGAAAAGATCTTTTATCTTTTTCATTTTTTCCAATGCGAACTGGTTTGAAAAGTCTGTGACTTGCAATATCCAAAATGATAGCTGTAAGTTTGTATTGGTTTGAATGAGGGTTTGTAACAGTGGTTTCCAAACATAAATTGAACAGAGAATGAAGTTTTGAAAGGGGTAATGAATACAGTTTCGTGCGAATGTGATGAATACCTAACGGCTTTTGTATTTAAATGGCAGCAAGTCAATAATAGAGACATCATGCAAAGTAGGTGATGTATAATGACGATGACCATGACTGCGTCTACGTCGAGGAGTAGAGTCGAAAATATTCATCACATTCACCGAGCTACAGGAAGGACTAGATAGAATACCTATACCATCAATTTTGTCATTGCAACCATATGGTGTCGCAGTTCCCAATTGTCGAATCCAGTAGTCCTCTTTATGTCTACGGAGAGGCGTTGCAAGTTGAGGATTGTTTGTCTTGTGGTATATTTTTTCGATAATACGAACTGTCATAGAAACGATGCAATGATAAGGCTGATTAAAATGCTGGTACAGAATGTCGTTTGCATTGAGGTTGATATCTGATCTATGGCCGCACATACATTTGTTTAGCCTTCCTTTCGTTTCACCGACTTAAACCAATCCGCAAAGGTTACACTCTAATCCGTAGACTACATTTATAGATTTACAATTCAGATCATCGTAACTTCTAGTAAAATAAGACTTTTTAGTTAAATTGCTAGTAATTGAGCATCTGTTATTAAAATTTCAAGTTTTGCAGCTATTAGTTCCACATTTCGAAATAAGACAGTGTTGTTCAGAGTCATCAAAATCCAAAATGTCTTTAAGGAGAACTGAACATGGCTGTGTATGTGTACTATTGCTATTGTCACTAGTATGATGATCTGAACGAGTCATGTTTGGGATATTTGTCATGTCTGGTGATGAGGGGACACCTGCCTTATCAGACGACACCGTGTCCACGGTGACGTCTGTGTCGAACCTTTTTATACTGGGCGACGTCCGAGCCAGTATCCTGTTAGATCTTCGTAAATTCATGCAAATTTGCTACTGGGCGGATGATGTCCTCACAAATTTTACTACTGGGCGGATGATATGTTCATATCATATTCATATTCCACTTGACGATTGACCATAAATAGTTTTGCGCCACAAAGTTATAAACAGACTATAACTTTGTGCGCTATGTTTGGCTTTACATACTGAATATTTAAATCACAACACAAGTATTTAAATTGGTACTGTAGAAAGTGATTGCGATACTTTAAATTATTAATATTTAAATTATATATATTTATATTCAAATGGCATGAGCTATGTATGAACTCAAAATGTGGCAATTTTAACCATATATATATATATATACTAATAAGCACTTTTTGAGTTAGTTACTGGTAAATACATGTATATATCAGGAAGGGCGGATGATGAGAATTGCCACTACAGGTACTTGTAACTTTATTTATTCTTTTAGCATGTTTAGTCTTGTTTAAATGGTTCAAATGTTTCAATTAAAGCAAAGAAATCTTAGTATTTCAAATATAGAATTCAGTTTGGCTTGAAGGCCGCATTTTGGTATATCAGTACATGTAAATGTCAGAATATAGCTCCGTTGCATGTGAATATTTCATTTTCAGTTATGCATATTGTTCATATTTATTGGAACACATTGTAAACTTGGTTTACAATTTTGTATATTTACAGATACATAAAGTATTATTATTTTGGACGACTCATTTAATGCAGAAAATGGCCAACAATTAATACCACACCTTTAGTCTTTGTGGTTTGGTGACTTAATCTTCACCCAGTTTGGCGATAGATCAGTGTTCTATTTTTCCTGTGACATTATTGTGAAAATTGTCCTGCAGTAAAAGTATGGTCATCTTATGATACATGTTGTAAAGACCACTAAAGACTTGAGACTTTCTTTGATGACAACAATGCTTTTTATCAACAAACCTTGTCATATAAATCTTAATATGAGTATTAGTGCGATAAAAAATGTTCAAGGCGAAAAAAAAAAAAAACTCCAGTTGCACAGTTTTGTTTGTAATCAGAGAAACTTTTGTAGATTAACCACAAAGATTTATGTCAAATAATAAAATAGTAATAATGAACCTTAAATGATCAGCTAAAACTGAGATTGAGAGGATTTTTAATAATTTGTACCCCTAAAATCAGCGGTGGTGTCCAACCAAAAGCGCTTGTGCCAAAAATGGAAGAAAACAGGGCCATCCTTACTTAACGAAAGAAACTGTATTATGCGTCGATAAATCTTACTGAAATTCTGAAAAGATAAAACTTACGCATAAACAGATAAATAAGTAATGGTAGATCGAAAATTTTGACAGTTTAACTTCCGGTGAGAAAAATAATATAAATTTGGAAACAATTTCGTATAACTACGATAATAATACGCAACCTTGATCTGTCAGGAGCTATGAAGATTTGCATGCAGGCGCACAACAGAGCATGTGAAACCCTTATCGCTGAAAAAAGCTTGCCCCTCATAAGGCGACATTTAATTCTGAAAGGGGGGGGGGGGGCAAATTTTATGAGGTCAAAATTTATTTAAAGTTAAAGTCCACCAGACTATCTATTTTCACTCAGACCAAAATATTCCTCCCAACCCTAGGCTCAGATTCAACTGGTAATCTAATTTAGTAATTTAACTATTGATATGATACCAGAGACATATACTAAATGTATTATATGAGGTCTCTGATGATACAGATCACTTTTTTGGGCTGATGCACAAATAGTGCAGTCTAAATGAAGTGTGGAATTTTGATTGAATTGAAATATGAAAATATAATAGCATAGACTTTCCATAACTATAGTTTACCAAGTTTGTAAACGTGGCGAGCGATGTGAGTTAAAAAAATTGATTATGTGGACAAAGTATTTATTTGCATGTGTGATAAGGCAAGATCATTTATTTCCAACTGAATGGGGACCAGAATATCTATTTCCGAAATCTGCCAGGTCCCCTTCAGAATCAACTGGTCCGGCGTCCCTTAAAGTCACTGATAAGGATACGAGACAAATTTGGATATAAATGTCAGAAAATTTCTGATCAGTGCTGATCTTATCAAACACTTTTAAAAGTAGACTTTGATCAAAGCGAAGATCGGAAAGAAATCAAATCGCAAATAAAACCGTTTTTATGTCGGTATTTCTACCTGCCTTTTGAACACCACTGCCAGTAGGCAAATTGGGAAGATAACAGGGTGATACCATTTAAACATTTTAAATTACACAAAGGAGTTTTAATCTAAATCAGAGACATATATATAATACAATGTTTCTGTCTAAATATACAATTCCTTGATTACACTGACAACAAAATCTGAGTCATTTTTAAATACTGTCATAATTTGCAAATAACCCTGAGACTAGTACTATGACAATTTTTTGAGTATAGATCTACTGAAGCTTAGACAACTTAGTCGTGCACAGGTCAGACCAAGATAAAAAATTTAGATTACTTGCAGGCATAAACATTACGTACGATTTGGACAAAGATTTCTGAAGACGTAGCTTGAACCTTATTTCTGGTGCGGCAAACGCGGATTTAAGGCGCGGGGCTCATAATCCCAGCGCTGCACAGCCCAAAGACCGGAATTTGTATCGGGAATGGACGGTTAATTGCAAATAAGTTTTCAGCAAGCTGAATTTACAAATACAAAAAGTTTTTACAGTTTATACAGTTTTAGATATAGTTATTGCTGTTTGCCTAATGATTAAGTGACAAATATTGCATGCATATTCATGTCAAGTACAAATAAACCATTATCAACTGGAAATAAGAGCATGTAAGAAGAGACAGAAGTTTTGTCTTAAAAAGAAACTCTATGAAACCCTTACAGATTTTTTTTCGATGGTTCTGTAACGTTTTGCGAGCAATTGCACACTGCCTTCATCAGATTTAAATGTTAACATTCCCACTGGACGTGGCTGTATATTTATACATCCCACACAGCCAAACGGATGCCCCTTTTCACCATCGGCTTAACTGTTTGATCTGGTACAGAACACATATCAGTATTTTTAGCAATGCCAAACGAACGCCCATCCCTTTTCGGCGAAGACTTTTCTGTCACACTGGAGAAGTTTACACGTCACTGTATCTATATCCCATTCCAATCCATATGCAGGAAAGAAAATAGATTTTCATGATCATGAAAAATTAGATTTTCGCAGAATTTCGAAGACCCATTGGTGGCTTTGGACTGTTTTCTGCTTGTTGGTCGAGTTGTTGTCTCTTTGACACACGTACATTCCCCGTTTCCATTCTCAATTTTATGTTATGAAGTTTCCGTCATATGATCTCATATGCTCATTGTCCTTGACCTCATTTTCATGGTTCAGTTACTGCTTTAAATAGAAAAAAAAATTTTGTCAAGTAAATTATTCACTTGTTATGAGTAATGGGATAATTTTATTTGGTATATGGGTTCCCTGCTAGGTCTACATTTCTGCCAGATAGGGTCCACCTCATTTCATGGATAAGTGATAAAGGTTAAGTTCTCGTGGTTAAATCCGTATCTCAGATTCTACTTGTATAAGCAAATTAGGTCAGCGATATTTGGTGTACGGAGTGATTGTAAGTTGTATATATCCGACTAGCAGGTTTCATCTGTTTTTGGCCTCAAATTCATAGTTCATTGGACAATGTTCAATTTTTGAGGTTGTGTCTATTTCTCAGATACTATAAGCAATAGGGTCACTATATTTTCATTATGGAATGATTGTAAGGTGTACATGTCCGACTGGTATTTCATGGATCATTTATAATGTCAAGTTTATCATAAGTAAAAAAGGCGAGACATTTCAGCATGTGCGCTCGTGTTTAAATTATTTGACAAAGAGGATTTGTCATACCTTCACATAGATTTCTATTACATTGTATTTATAATTTGAATCATGATTTCCATCTTTAAATCATTAGGGCTCTGTTGTTTTTACTCTCTCTCTATCTATTCTTTATTGCTTTCCCCTAAAATAGCTGACAAAAATTTAAAATTCAACTATTCCTCTAGTTATTCAAAATTATTAGAGGTTAAGCTTTTTCATGTCCAGCGGCACATATTACAGTGTTATCCGCATTCACCATTATACGATGCGGGAAAATTCCTATTGTCAAATTCAATTTCAAATAAATAGATTCGTGTTTAACAAAACTATGATATGTGTGTGAAACGTCTAAGATATACAATGATTGAATTCATTGTTGGTCAGTTTAACGGCCACTTTTATCATTATTTGCTATTTCATGGCGCCCAGCTTTTTTGTGTGTAGAAAGCTGGGACGCCCGGAGAGAACCACTGACCTTCGGCAAGGAAACTGTCAATCCTAGTCAATTAAGATTGGAGTCGAACCAAGCTACCACGTGTAGGGTTCGAACTCTGAGATAAGCAATGAAGCAGTAATTTTCACTAACGAAAGAAACTTGTTTCTCACTTTATCCAGTTTTCGTTTGATAAATAGTTTTATTTTCTATTATTCAAATTGAAGAAACCAAGACGTTTTAAAAACGAATTGAACTCGGAAAAAAAGGTAGCCAAGTGCATAGTTCTTTCAAACATATTCTTTTATTGCTGAGATGCTGTCTCGTCATGTCAAGAAATTGCCTCCGTTGAAATTTTGCAAACATCCCATAGAGCAAATTACATGGACGATTAATATTGACCATTTTGAATATGGGCGTGCTCTAAACGACACGTACATGGAGGTCATAAATTAATTTGTTGAATGAAATAAAATCTTTAACTACTAAAAGGTGCCGTAGGAGGTCCACCGAAATTTTTAGCGAGGATTTCTTGGCATGTAACAGATAGAAAATTCAGGGTTAGAATCACAGGCACTTGTCTCAGAAAAAAAAATTTCCTATATACCTTAATATAACACAAGGTACTTAACTCGCATTTTTGAAAAATGTCAGCCAGTCGCGAAATTCCGTTATATGCCGATTTCTCGGTTGTCAACCCCACCGTTAAACTTGTTATGCCGTAAATCTAAATTGATTTTTCTACACAATGGTGTATAACACGCCTACTTTTGTTGTCGGAATCATCCGTAGCAGACCTACCCAAGTATGACAATCGTAATTATTTCGTCTACCGACGCCAAATTGGAAACATAAAACTCGCAGTAAATGATTAATTATAAAAATTATTTAAAAACAAACTGTTAGTTTTTGTCTGAATAGAACTTTTCACCCAGTAAGTAAAATTGTATAAAATACCGTGAAAAAAACCTAACAAGTGTTATTTGTGGTATGTCTAATAAGTTATGAGTTTCTTTTTTTAGACTCAAATTTTTCCATTACATCAATGTCATTCAGACTCTCTCTTGACTTTACGTATGAAATGAAATAAGATCAGATAACTCCGAGAAACATTTAGACCTTCCCATAAAATTTGACCAATCGGAAACCGAGATATATAAAGAGAGTGGGAAGATACCTTTTACTGCGAGTCGTATGTTTCCAATTTGGCGTCGGTAGACGAAATAATTACGATTGTCATACTTGGGTAGGTCTGCTACAGATGATTCTGACAACAAAAGTAGGCGTGTTATACACCATTGTGTAGAAAAATCAATTTAGATTTACGGCATAACAAGTTTAAGTGGGGTTGACAACCGAGAAATCGGCATATAACGGAATTTCGCGACTGGCTGACATTTTTCTAAAATGCGAGTTAAGTACCTTGTGTTATATTAAAGGTATATAGGAAAAAATTTTTTCTGAGACAAGTGCCTGTGGTTAGAATTTATAGAACAGACAAGGGGCAGTAGCAAATATTTCATGTATATTATGAACACAGAGAAGATTACCCCGGCACCCTTTGCCAAAAAAACCCCCCTTCTTTTTCTTCTATGTGCCTTCTGACTGTTTTGAATTGTAGTTTCACTTTCCATATTCGGTATTCATTCTAATGTAAGCTCCACGTGGAAAAAATCATGTGATGCAGGAATGTAGTATCTATGAGTTAGGCTATTTCTTTCTTTTCGGACGGGGACTCCAAGACAACATGCATTTATATAAGATCTTAAAGTAACTAGCCAGTAGGAGTTCAATTGCTTCGTTACAAGAGATTTCCATTTCATTTTTGAAGGGAGAGATTCTTGAAGAAGATGAATCGGAGGCAGTCCATACTTCAATAGGATTTCTGGAATTGTAGAGAAAAAGCTGTTCGGGTTATCGTAGTTAACCGACATTTGTTTGGTGATGATATCTTTAACTCTTTGAACGTTCGAAGAAAGTAAATTGTGAAGAAAAGACATTTGCTTTTTGAGAAGTTCAGCTTCGATTGGGAGTCCGCCAATCAAGAGGTATACTAGTATTGCAGCTATTGCC